GCCGAGACCATGGGTTACAAAGATGATTTGGTTCAGCCACATCAATGCTCACTACAGCCTCTGAAATAGTGCTAACCTTAGAGAAGTACAGAAGTATTATCAGATAAAGCATAACCAGTTAACGTGCAGTGAAAGATCCCCGAAGTTCACCTCTTGAGATGGGAAGTAACTGAAAACATTGAGTTAGCTTTGGTGCTGCATAACCTAGATTACTTTTTACATTTCCTAGTCTTAATATAAAAAATAATAAAAAAAAAAATCAATAGAAATCAGAGAACTATACTACTAGGCTACTGATCTAAATTTATCCTAAAAAAGAAATCAAATAACTCCACCAACAACCACTGATACAGTACTGGTCTTAGCAGATCAGAAATTCAGTTTAGATGTTCCTATTTACAGTGGCAAATTGGAATCAGACTGAGAAAGGGTGTGAAAGACTCTCCAGCCCTCTGTAAGCAACTCTCACAGCTTGTTTTCAACCACTTAACAACATGGCCACAGTACAGACAAGCACCAGTGTAGTCCTACTGCAAATGCCAGACACGTCTCTGTATTTCCAGATGGATGCCTGGTAATGAAGAAAATAAGCAGAAAACCGATGTTCACTACCGATCACTGGATGGTGAAGGGAACTTTAACTGGAGATTTGTTTTTCCTTTTGACTATCTCCCAGCAGAGCAACTCTGTGCAGTTTCCAAAAAGGTAAGTATTTCTAAAGATTTCAATACTTGGAATACATATTTTAATTAGTCTGATAATTTTGTACCTACATATTGTAAGAGATACTTTGTCTCAGTTCTGCAAACTGCTGTTGCGATTCAGTTTTGCCTTTGAGCCAGGAACATTGGCAACAGCAGCAGTCTCCTCTTAGCAAGGGCAAGATTAGGTCCCTAATACTTCCACCAACCCTAGAATTCAAAAATACTAACAGACTACAGCTTTGAATTTTCATAAGTTTAAAAAGGTGCTTGGGTTTTGTTTTTTAAAATTTTAGGAACATTTTTGGAGTCTTGACAAGACAGAATTCAGAATCCCACCCAAACTGATCATTCAAATATGGGATAATGACAAGTTCTCCTTGGATGACTATCTCGGTAAGACTTCTAAGAAAATAATTATTGCTGTCTCAAAGTAAGAGATAAAAACAAACCATTTTAAATTATTGCATAAGGATTGTGTTTACAAAGTGAGCACACAAATACACTCCTGCTTTCCCACACAGTACAGGGCTACTTGTGCTCATGAATGAGTGAGTGAATATTCACTCAGTAAAGGCCTGCTTGCAGGTAAACCACAATGCTCATTCAGGTAAGCCCTATGACAAAGTGCATGAAATGATAATGTGCATGAAAACTTACATTGCTTCTTACTTTAAATAAATTTACCTAGAACAAGAGTACTTCAATTCTAAGAGTTTTGACATAAGGCTGTGATTTAGGTTAAGCAATCTACTTCACACCGTTTTTAATTATACTTCATGCCATTAGTAATGCCAACTTTTTGTAGAGATGTTGCTCTGCATAAGATTTTCTGCCCTGTATTAAGATGGCTCCAAAGTCTTTACCTTACATGCAAACCATATAGGCCTCAAAAGCTGAAAACAAATAATTGATTTATAACCATCATTAAAATTAAGTGAATCATGCATTTAGCTCTCAGAAACTGCATTAGTATTACATTGCTGTATTTGGTTATCTTCTGTTAAGGTGTGTGGGGAAAAAAGCCTTCCATTAAAAATCAAGTGATCTTGCATTAAAAAAGAGGAAGGAGAGCTTGCTGAGTCCAGTTTATCATCTTGCTGGTGTGGAAAGTGCTGGTGTTGGGCTTAAACACAGCCTGATGTGTCCCACCTCCCTGCCTCACAACATCCTTAGACAAACAAGAATGTAATGTGTCTGTTGATTGTTTTTCCTGTGTAACATGTTTAGTGATAGGAAAGGTTGATGTTGAACCACTGTGCTGTACGGTTGGTTATGTTATGCGGTGTTTATTTTTTTATCCATCTCCTAGGCTTTGTGGAACTTGATTTACATAAAACAATCATTCCAGCCAAAGTTCCAGAGAAGTGCAATATAGACATGATTCCAGAATACAAGGTAGATGGTTCTCAGAAGGCTCCCAGGACGGCCTCTCTCTTTGAGCAGAAATCCATGAAAGGATGGTGGCCGTGTTATGTTGAGAAGGATGGCTCCCGTATTTTAGCGGTATGATTTATTACTTCTTTTAAAAGTACTTAAAACATGCTCACCTTGCTTTTCAAATTATAAAGAAAGACTGTAGAGTCCCCCACTTACCTGTTAGCTTTCAGTGCCTAGGCAGAGGAATAAACAGAACATTCCGTGCACAAGTTCAGAAATTTTGCTCCATCAACAAATTTTTGTTTTAAAGTATGAGTTTAATACTTAAGTGCATTTATTTTAACTCTGTTTAACTTGAAGGACTCTGGTGCCAGGTTGTTATCTTGCCAAAGCAGCCAATAGAATTATTGTGTAAAGGAATTTATCATGCTATTGCTTAGGAGAAACACGAGACATCCTAAAGTCTAAATAAAAAAGTTTAAATCCAAAGCATTTTTGTACACAACAAATACAATTTACATACTAGGAACTCGGGATAGCTTTGTGATTATGAGGGCAATCAGAAGACTTAAAGCATTTTAACCTGTTCTATGAAGAATATAAATGCAGATTTTTCACTTGCTAGAATATTAAGTTTTTCAAGTGTGTCTGCTTCTTCTTTCTAATGTTTTTGCCTTTAAAATTTATTACTGGAATTTAATAAATTATGAAAAACATTCAGAAACATCTATCAGCCACAGCAATGTAAAAAGTAAGATGCTTAGTCATTTGGAAAAGATGCAAGAAGAAAAGAATTTTTGTTTTGCTCTTAAAAGAAGATAACAGTTTTTGTCTTGCTAAATTGGAAAAAAAAATCTTAAAAGAGAACTACAAATTAATTAGCAGGACCATTTTATGTACTGTGGGGTTGGGTTTTTTTATTTGTCATTCTCTGATACTCTGTTGTGACACTGTCATAGCACAGAAATAAGTCTATTTTGAGAAGGAAGTGGAAAACACACAGATGTACACACAATGAGCTGATTCCAAACTCTGCCATATAAGTAACAAACAAGTACCATTAGTGCTGTTTCAGTAAGATGCTTGTCTCATGCCACGTGTTTTCTGAAGGGTAAAGTTGAAATGACATTGGAAGTTGTCAATGAAAAAGAAGCTGAGGAAAGGCCAGCTGGTAAAGGAAGAGATGAACCCAACATGAACCCCAAACTAGATCTACCAAAGTAAGAAATTTTTCTCCCACTAGCTTGGGAAATTTATAAAATCTAGCTACTATAATGTTGTTGACAAAATCTGCATGCAGTAAAGGATTGATTAGACACCAATTTTCCTTTGCAAAACTTCATTTATAAAAGCCAGTCTTGTTTCTTTCTGCAAGCATTAGGATACAATGCCAGGTGGTTTTAGTATTAATGACAGAAGTTTACTGAAATGGCTACCTTGCATTACAAAACTCTCTGTGTTTTCTTCAGCCTCCAAACTAGAGTGTTTTTAATGTGTTATACTCTCATGCTTAAGTATTCCTTGTTTTTATAGTATGAGTAATATTTGTTTCTTTCAAAATGCAGCCGACCAGATACTTCCTTCCTTTGGTTTACAAACCCCTGCAAGACAATGAAATTTATTGTGTGGCGCAGGTTTAAATGGCTCTTTATAGGCCTTCTCATCTTGCTGATTTTACTCTTGTTTGCTGCAGTACTCCTCTATTCATTGCCGGTAAGAATTTTTAATTGTTACTGTTCTTCAGCTGTATGAAGCTGAAGCTTATATATGAGTTATCAACAGAAGAAACTCCTTACTCAGGCCGGAGGTTCTCTCAATTCAGTTTTCGCAGGGAGCTAGGGATTATATCCTTATCGCTATGAACAATTTCAACTGATTTTTATTGAGAAACAATTAAAATTTATGTTAAAACTAACCTATTAACTAAAGATGGAGCAAATGAGTGCTTTAGAAGTGTTAATAACCTACAAAATTAAAAATATTTAATGGGTGGTCTAGAGTCTGGATGTCAGTCTACTTTTATCTGAAATATCTTACTCATTTTTACTATATTTTAACTGAAATTACCATACCCTGGATACATTCTGATGCATTTTAATATCTTAAATATGCTTTACAAAACTACACTGAAGTAGTTTGTGTACATATTTTTACCTCTATTGTTTCTTCCCTTCTCCCCCAACAGAACTATTTGTCAATGAAGATTGTGAAACCAATTTAAAGAAGAGTTTTCTACCTCATCTTTTTAAATAGTAATGAGGTTTCGCCTCAGGCTGTGGACCAAATCAGCAAGGCTCTCCATCCTTTTTATCTGCTAGTATTTGGAACTGTAAAATAGATAAGTAAGAATTTAACCAAGGTTAGCCAAGGTTCAAGGGGTCATGACAGGTGCTCTTAAAAAACAAAGGATTTTTTTACTTCAGTAGTATCTATAAATGGTAAACTTCTGACTTCCTTTCTTTTAAACTAGATTTTTCATAAAAATCACAGAGGAGGCTGCTTGCTGTTGCTATCTCTGTTTTTTAAATGGATACTTCCTTTTGCAAATTCCTTTCTATGGGGCGCACTTTGAAACTTTGCATTTTAACTTAACGACAAACAAGCACTACTTATAATTATGTATACCAAAGAAACCTCACAGTACAATGAAAGAAGGGTCAGACATGGTTTCTAGACAAGTTTTCAGCATCATGCTGCTTAAAATTCTTAGTTACTGCACTGTAGGCTTGACAAGGCTATATACATATCTTGACAACACTGCATGTGCATAGAAATAAAGAATATACTGTTTACACCTAGTATAATTTACAGATGTTTAAATAAACTTATCCACAAATAAATTGCAAGTTTCCAGTTTTCTTTATCTGCGCATTTTCTTTACCTCTGCATTAGATATTTTATAGTGTCTTTAAGAGGATGTAATGCCACAAATCTGGAGTTTAAGGTATTTTACTGTTATCTTTACACTGAAGAATAAGGAAATGCTTCTGCACAAAGTTCTAATTAATTTCTTAATTGATTAGGAAATTAATAAAGAAATGAAATTTAATAGTTTCACTATACTCCCTGTATTGAGAGATGATCTTGAATCAAAACATATGAGAAAACACAACCCAGATTCAACCCTTGTTTGAATCTGATCTACACCTAGGAAGTATTTCATTTAGCCTCAGTCTCCTCTCCTGAGGCACAGTAAAATATAATCTGCACTAAAAATTGGGTTTAGTCTGGGATTCCACCTCACTTCTATGGAGGCCCAAAGGAGAAGCATCTCTCTGAACATTCTCTGGGGCTTGAAACGTAGGAAATCTGCAGCAGAACTTGTAATCAGCATCAGTGACTGCCACACTCTTGACTGGATAAAGACTTCAGCTGTCTTTAAAAAGATGAAAAAAATAACTGCAAGAATTAATTAGTCTTGAAAAATCATTTAGTGGCACACTTAACATTTTCTTATAACACAGAACTGTAAAATAAGCGTGCACTTGTCAGGCAAAATAAGTAAATTATACTGACTTAATTCTGTTGGACAGCTAGAGTTAAGGTATTGCATAAAGTGATTTCTAGAATGTGAAGTCCCATTGGCTAGCATGGAGCAAGCAACAGCCATCCTGTCAAAAAGATAAAGATGCCCTTATTTTTTGTTTATTAAAAGACTCTCAAGCATCTTGACCTATGAATGAGAGCTCAGAGCTGGAACTAATCACCATCCAGATGGACTGTCCCTTCACTAATGACGAAATAGCACTCCAGAAATAACTGGCAATTTGCATGAGCTAATGTTTGGTCAGCCACTATTAAAATCTGTCTCAACCAACGCCATAAATCTGACAGACAGTAAAAATCACAGCAGCCTTACCTTCAATGTAGGACAAGAAAATGCATCACTCATAAGGGTTGTAATTAGAAAGCATTTAACTTGAAAGAGCATTCCCCAGAAAACAATTAGGCAATGGAGAAGAGATCTGAGCAAGCCTGTTCACCTAGCCTTTGAAGAGTGGCAGGTACTGCCCTTCTCAGTTGAGTTCACCCTCTTCCAGATGCCTTTTCGTCCAAGCATGCATAGGTTTGATAGTTTCACTACAATTAGGCAATGCTATTAAAAACATAACTGGAAAGTCTGAGAAGCCATTCTGTCTCCCAGCCTGTTCCAGTAACAAACAAAAGAAAACACAAGTTCACAAGAATGAAAATGTGATCATTAATATTTACATCAATGCTGGTCAAATCTGTAATCCCTAGTGTAGCTGCTGTGCATGAGTCCAACATACAATCGCTTTTTGCCTAGTTCAGACATTTAGGAAAGATTGAGCCCTGTGTAGGGTTCTGATGCTGCTCTCGTTCTGCACCGACTACTGGGATGTTCACTTTGGCCAGACAGCTCTGTACTGCTCCAGTTGCCACCAGCTGAGGCAAACATCCGTTAAGGCCTCAGAAAAAAAGGGCAGAATGTAGATGTGCCTGACATCACTCTTCCTTCTAACAGGATATTACTTAACCCCTGGAATTCCTCCTCTAATGAGTTCGCTGAACTGGTAACTGACGAGTAATTTGGCTTGTGAGCTGATGGGGCCAGTTCAGCTGCACTCCTGTCACTAGGTCACCAATACACAGACTCTGTGCTTTGCAAAAAAGATCATCTGTGTCTAAAATGACGTCTCTGTTCTGGGAATAGAAAATGTTTGATGAGGCTATCTTCTCTGCACTGGCGTGTCATTCAAACATGAGATGCTAGCCGGCTGAAACAGCCAGGGAAAGGCTGAAGCTAAACTGAAAGTGCTTGTAACCAAAAATGGCTAAATAACAGCAGCATGTCACTTGCCAGCAGTACGTCAGACATCACGTAGGTTCAAACAACAGCAGCTGCACTCTTCGATACACTCTGGTATCCCAGCAGCATGTGACTTCCTATCCGTTGTTTGCTGTAGTCACCCCAAACCCTGGCTACTGGAATGGGCTGTAAGGAGGGTAACAGCTCCTGTCATGTACTTTGCAACTAGACAGATTGTACAAGAAAGAATCATCGTGTAGCTCAAGAAGAAAAATTTGCACCTAAACCAGCTCAGTGAAATGAAGCGGCAGTAATCTCACCAACACCTACCAGCTGTTCATGCATTTCTTTGAACAACCACAAGATGACATCCCAAGTCTCATGTGTTCACAAAGCCCTTCCAGTACTTCTGTTTTATTCGTAGCCTAAATACAGCTCAGATACGGAGGCAAACAAGATTTATTTAATAGTTAAGGGAAAACACAGACCCAGCAAAGTCCATTGCTTCTAAGTGTATTTGGAGGGCACAGCTGTAAGTGCCTTTGGGACCTGCCTGTTACATACAAACAGAAAGTGACTCCGAGTGTGGACTCCACTGACTTTAATGCTGTTGTGTACGTGGGACTCCCACTCCATGCCACCAGGTGCCTCAGCTATTTAGCAACTTCAAAGCAGTACCAAAGAGTGAGATGGCAGCATTCACTGCTGAATCTTGTGTCAATGCCAGCGCAGCTAGCAAACAGCACTCAGCTTTTTACACAGTACTTTCCATTGCTCAGAGCCGTGTGTGTTGTATAGAGACAGGGACCTGAATTAGAAAGACAATTCTCTGAAGAAGGAAAACTAGAAAGTTCTTTAAAAATTAATACACATAAAAAAATGGGAATATACATTATGGCTGTTGAGTCTGACCATGCTCTGACCACAAAGCTACCCTTTGTAGAAGTTTGTCTCCTTTATAACCTTAGCCACAGCAAAGAGATTAAATCCATTGACAAGTGCAAGATGAGGAACACAGTAAGGAAAAAACATACTTCTCTGAAGCCATCAAAAAACCCTGAATGTATTATAATTGTTTATGAAAGACTCCAGGGCAGGTGTGTTCTTTTCCCAGACCTACAAGATGTCAGGACTAGCAGCAAAAAGGAGCAGGGCATTCAGAACACAGCAGGAGGTACACAGGCACCCTGCACAGAGCAGTGGCACCGCCAGCCACCTCAAAGGGATCCATGCACAGGGAATGCCAGCACAGAGGAGAGAGGTGCTCACTGAATTACTTTACTGGAGCGACCTAGAGATGGACAGCAAGAGACAATGAGCCTACAGCATGTCTTACATGAGCCTAAGTGCACACCTTACATCTCACGGCTCAGGTGCCAGCATCCACATGGGATCTGCAGACCAAACCACCTCCCCTCCATTCCTTTTTGCAACAGTGCTGCTACCTCAACACCAGTGCTCAGAAGTGTTCCCACCACCACTGCATCAGTAACAGTGTGCTCAGCCAGGCAGCAGATGTTGGTTTAAACCTTTCAGGTGGAGAAGTGAACTGAACCTGCACTTGCAGTCTGCTGTGTAATTATGGTAAAACAACAGGAGACAGAATCACCACTATCTTCTAACAGAAAGTGTGGGCATTCAGTACTGCAGTCAGTTGTACTCTCAGACTACCTCCTGCCTCCAGCCCAGTCCTCCACGATGAAGGTTAGGTGCCAAGCTGCTCAGCTCTAAGGAGACACACATACTTCCAGAAAGGAAGAGATGCAGAACTAGGACTGGCTGGAGAGTTTATATAAACCTTAAGTGCAATTTGCTGTTGCACTTAAGTTACAGATTTGCACCTAAGCACCTGAACTCTATCGGTACCTCTTCACACAGCTATGACCTCCATTGGGTCTGCCATTGAGAGCAGCTCGATATGAAACAGTAATTAGGAAAACTAACAAAGTTAGAGGCATCATCAAACAGGAAACAATTAATAAACCAGAGTATGTTAGTGTTGTATCAATCACAATCATCTTATGTTCAAACATCATATTTGATTTTGCTACAGGTCTCAAAAAAGGCACATTGTAAATGAATAAAGATTCAAATGTGGACAGTGAAAGTAATCAAGAGCAAGCAAGTAGGGCCAGGGCTCCTTACAAGAAAATCTTAAGAGGTCAGCACTAGCCTGGAAAGTGACAGAGAAACAAGAAATAACCAGGTATCTAAAGTAAGCTACAGAGAGGTAGAGAACATATAAATGGGATGCTTTTCTTCAGGGACTATATTAAAACCATGGACATGAACACATGAGGACCCCTTCTTCCCCCTCAAAACCATCAAACTAAAAGGCAAAAAATTTACAAAAGGTTAAACGAGATATTTTACTGCAGATTTTAGGTAACTCTGGGAACACACTGGCAGAGCATATCCTTTGCTTTAGTAAGAACAAGGAAAAGCTGTAATACCTCCCTGTATTTACGTATCAGGACAACAAAATACACTAGCTTTTATACTTCACCACGTCCCACGCTCACTGGCAGGACTCCTCAGGACAGTATTCACCCACAGACAGTGCTGTGCAACTGGGAGCCGGATTATACACTCACAGCTGCGAGAGATGCCCTTCCTTGCAGAATTCCCGAGTTT